AATTAATTATAAAAAATACATTTACTATATATTTATCCTATACCTTAAAGATACATAATAAAAAAAAAAACCCTAAAAATATGGACCTCGTTATTATTTTACCGAAAAATTGAATTTTACATAATAATAACAATTATTATTATTATTATTGTCAAAAAATAATCATAATTTTGAATTTAACAAACTTTGCAGGTTGTTTACCCAATCTATTCAGAGCAGCCCTCCCCAAATTCAGTTTTATTTTATCAAAACATAATTTAATTTTTAAAAATGATACAGTTACAAATTATGTAATAAAATAAATTTACAATTATTACATATTATTATATAGAGTAATGATACACGGGACGATTTTGGAGGACGAAATCATGGGACGACAAGTGAAACAATCCCAACAGCAATTACCAATTTAACCCTACTTCACTTGTCGTCCCGTGGTTTCATCCCCCAAAATCGTCTCGTGTATCATTACTCTATTATATAATTATCACCTTTTTTTTTATTAATCTTTCAGTATCCGATAACCACTTTGAGTCTCGACTAATCCGGAATTAAATCAGGTCAGACCTTATTAAGAAAAAGCTCTTTTAATACCTATTTCTCCGTTCACAAAACTCTAACTCGAAACCTTATTTAAGGGGAATCGAGTTCTTTCCACTCAGACTAACAGATAATTGGTTATAATGCTACATTATAATTGTAAATTGTTTAGCAATATAGTATGCATCTATTTTTAATGATACATTATAATTAAAATTTTATAATTTTATTATGACATGCAATTATATATTTGTGGTTAATTTTAAAACCAAGTATAGATATAACTCATATAAGGCGGTGATTATGGATGGAATGGTCAAAAGAATATTTTGTATTGATTAGCATTGATTGGCATTGTACAGTTTCTGTATTTCCTTTTATTTCCTTTTCTGGTAGCAGACCCCAGTTGTATATAGGTGTAGTGCTGCTTATAATGAAATATTGATTCCAGATTCATATATGGCTGTTACTGCCCTAGTTTATTATGGTATCAGAGCAGTAGGTGCTTGACGGCAAGATCTTGCCGCAACAGTAGATCGTGACAGCAAGTTCTTTGCTGCAGACAACCAGTTTCTCATGGCTTCTGAAGACACAACCACAAAGGCCAATCCCAAGACGACAGGGGGAGCGAGGGAAGCTTTGAAATCAGGCGACCCAGACTCTCCATATTACTTGCACCCAAGTGATGATCCTGGAAGGATTTTGGTAACATCCCCTTTGATAGGGGAGAATTATCACACATGGAAGAGAGCACTACAAAACGCTCTTTATGCAAAGAACAAGATGGGCTCCATTGATGGGACATTGAGAAGGCCAGAAATAGACTCACCAAATTATGCATCATGGAAGAAGTGTAACTCAATGGTACTGTCTTGGATTCTAAACACAATTTCAAAAGAACTGCATGATAGTGTTGCTTATGTTGACAGTGCAAGAAAGGTTTGGAATGATCTGCAAGAGAGATTTTCTCAAGGAAACACCACAAGAGTGCATGAATTAAAGCTTGAACTAGCCACCATGGTTCAACAAGACAGATCAGTTGCTGCATACTTCACCAAATTGAAACCAATTTGGGACGAATTACATGCATATGAACCTACTCCAGTATGTGTATGTGGGTGTACCTATGGGGTAGCGAAGGAGTACACAAAGGCACGTGAGACAGAGAAGGTTCATCAGTTTTTAATGGGTTTGAATGATAACTTTTCGACTATACGCTCACAAATCCTAAATTTGGAACCATTACCTTCTTTAAACAAGGTATATGCAATGGCAACCAAGGAGGAAAGGCAACAAGCTATAACAGCTTCAAGAGGACCAGTAATTGAAGACACTGCCTTAGTGGCAAGGTCAAGTATGAGTGGAAGATTAAACAATCCCGGAAAGGCATGGTGTGATCATTGCAAGAAAGTTGGCCATACCAAAGACCGATGCTATAAGATTATTGGGTACCCCTCAAGTTGGAAGACTGGAGGCACAAAGACAAAAGGCAAGGGTGATGGACAGAGAAGTCAGAGTCATGGAAGGGAATTAATCTTTGCAGCTAAAGCAAACCATGATCCAACAAGAACAGATGGCAATCAAAATCAGTCTCCTCTTGCCGGACTGACCAAGGAACAGTATGATCAATTACTCACACTTCTCGGTGGTAATTCCATCACTAATCATTCGACAAACATGGTTGGTAAGATGCAAATCTCATCTTTTCCTTGGATTATTGATAGTGGCGCCTCAGACCACATGACCCCAAATCTTTCCAGGCTTATTGAAACCATACCTTATTTTGCACCAGTCCACATACCTGATGGAACCTCCTTACATGTCTCTCATATAGGAAAAGCAAAACTAGCCCAAGACCTCACCTTAGACAATGTTTTATGTGTTCCCCAATTTAACTGTAATCTCCTTTCAGTTAGCAAAATAACTAAACAACTCAATTGTGCAGTTATATTTTTCCCTAACTTTTGTGTATTTCAGGACCTAACCTCGAGGAAGTTGATTGGAATGGGTAAACTGCATGAGGGAATCTACTATTGTGAATTTGGGCATGTTGCAGCTGCTAGTCGAGTAAAGCCGAAGGAGACTGCGTCGTTTGAATTGTGGCATAAGAGGCTTGGTCATATTTCCTTTGATAGATTATCTAAAATACCTTCATTATGTTCTTGTCCTTCTGATTTCAAACATGTTTGTGACATTTGCCATAGAGCAAAACAAACAAGATTACCTTTTCCCATTAGCAATAATTTTTCTTCACGTTGTTTTGCCTTAATACACTGTGACATTTGGGTAGGTATGCTACAGCTTCTAATACAGGTGCACATTATGTTTTAACTATTGTTGATGATTACTCTCGTTGCACTTGGGTCTATCTTTTAAAAAAAAAATCAGAAGCTGCTTTATATCTAATAAATTTTTGCAACATGGTTGAGAATCAATTTGAAACTCATGTGCAACAGATTCGCAGTGATAATGGAAAAGAATTTACAGATGGACTTGTCAAAAAGTTTTGTCAAAAACAAGGTATTTTGCAGCAAACATCTTATGTCAACACACCTCAACAAAATGGTGTGGTTGAGCGCAAGCATCGTCACCTACTTGAAGTTGCATGTGCCTTGCGTTTTCAAGCTAATCTTCCTTTAAAATTTTGGGGTGAGTGCATTCTTACTGCTACTTACATAATTAATTTGACTCCCACTCTTGTGTTGTCAGGCCTCACTCCGTTTGAGAGACTTTTCAAGAAATCACCATGTTATGACCATTTAAAGGTTTTTGGATGTCTTTGTTATGCTCACAATCACTCACA